TACAATACCCTTCCTCACAAGTGTAAACTTACTCTTAATAATCAGGAAGCTTACTGTTTCTTAAAAGAAAACATGATCTAATACCTGATGTCAAAGTAATGATCTGGATGCACATTTTATTTATTATTGGTCATGAACCTTAAGAACAATCAAATGAACAAGAGCTAATCATTTCCAAAAGAGCTGGCTTTGGACTTGCTATGTCATATTCTAAAAATCTAGACTTGATTCAGAAAAATAGAATAGTTAGATTTTGCGAAGCCATTTTATACATATGTAAAGTGTTATCTAATTCTTTCTTATTAATAATATAGTGCAATCTGTAGGCACCGTTTTTTTTTTGCGCTGATCCGAAGCCATTGTCAGCCAAAAAAAGGTATCATTTACTTACATCTTTTATTTACACATTTCGTCAACCTGCAATTAACATCTCTATTTTTGCCACTGATCCCAAGCCTCAGCCGGCAAAGGAACAGACTTAAGTTCATAAGAACCGGTGTTCTACTGTCCGAGAGCAAAACTAATATTTTCTTTCTATAAGCTCAGCCCCTCAGATACAACTACCACCTTCTTTGTCAACGATAACTGAACAAGGACAAATCTCAGTTCGAGAAACAATGCTTAGTTGCTTACTCATGTTTCACATTCAAGTCTCCCTACTGTTGTTGCACCTACAAAGGTAACTGTTCGTATTTGTTTAGTTAATTTTTTGGTGTGTATAAAGAGATCTTGTAAATGATTGCCAAATCAAGCACAAACACCCTCGCCCCTCAAGTATGCTGTTCTCATTATCTTCATACTTCCTATAAAACTGCTATCATGTTATGAGAATTGTAGTGTTCTAGCTAACAATGAATCCAAAAAATATATTCTTCAAATCCAAAATAGACACTTGGTAAGGATAAACACAAACTTTCTTTTAGTGTACTTTGCTTTATACAACATTTTAGTACTATACGGAAATTTAGTAGGTAACCACTGCAATTTAATGTGGGCGCTATGCTATTATAATGATGTTTTACACCATATTTTTGAGCTTATTCCTATGGAAGTCCATGATTGGAAAAACTGTACGAAGTCTTTAAAAATCAGATTTGAAGTCTGGTATGGGGATGTGAGAAGTAGGAGAGAAATAGGGAGATGTTGTAAGGAGACGGACTCTCATGATGCACTATCGGATGGTGAATTTGCCGAGTGCGGGGGCACTTTGAAACAATTTGCACTTTCGGCAAAGGCTTTGAGTGCTCGATCAAAGAGCACTCAACAAAAAAAAGAGTCGGCAAAGACGTCTTTGTCTTTTCGGGCACTTTCAACAAAAGCCTTTGCCGAAAGTGCCGACACTCTGCAAAGTTGGAACCGAAAAAACCCGAAAAAATGGGAATTTTTACCCAAAAAATGGAATTTTTTTAATTGGTGGAGGCCCCCACCGTCAGCCGCCCATCCATCTCTCCGGCTTTACAAATGTAAATTTCACTTCTACCCGACTTGGGATTCGAACCCAAGTAGCAGCACAAACCTCCTCTACCACTACACCACACTGTCACTTGTGTCTAGATTCCGTTTTAGTTCCCAATATATTATACTAAACCGAGTGTAAATTGCTTATTTGAGGCCCTAAATGAATTCAAATAAAAAAGTGGTCAACTACAAAGTTTCATAACTTTTTGAGATCTACAATTTTCATTTAGTAAGTTTTTCCATCCGAGGTCGTTTGAAAAATTTGAATTTTAAATTTGAGAGATTCAAACATAGTTTTGCATGATAAGATGATTTCAAATCAAAAAGTTGTCAACTACATAGTTTCATAACTTTTGGAGATCTACAATTTTCATTTAGGAAGTTTTTTCATCCGAGGTCATTTGAAAAATTCAAATTTTAAAATTTTCAAATTCAAACGTCGTTTTTGCATGAAAAATGATTTCAAATCAAAATGTTGCCAACTACAAAATTTCATAACTTCTCAAGATCTACAAAGTTTATTTTGGTCATTTGTTCATCCGACATAGTGGTAGTAACATTGTTCACAAATCATATATCTCTCTCTTCTATTTTCATGAAATTAATATGAGAGATGTATATTTTATGAACAACGTTATTGTCGCTTTGTCAAATGAAGAAATGACCAAAATAAACTTTGTAGATCTTGAGAAGTTATACAACTTTGTAGTTGAAAAGTTTTTCATTTGAATTCATTTAGGGCCTCAAAAATTGATTCGAAAAACTGATTTGCCGAGGGCCAAAAAATGCACACGGCAAAATACCTTTTTGCCGAAAGTGCCAAAATATAGGCACTTTCGGCAAAATGATGGCTTTGCCGAGTGCTGCACTCGGCAAACTGAGAGTAAATTGTTTGTTTGAGGCCCTAAATGAATTCAAATCAAAAGTGGTCAACTACAAAGTTTCATAACTTTTGAGATCTACAATTTTCATTTAGTAAGTTTTTCCATCCGAGGTCGTTTGAAAATTTTGAATTTTAAATTTGAGAGATTCAAACATAGTTTTGCATGATAAGATGATTTCAAATCAAAAAGTTGTCAACTACATAGTTTCATAACTTTTGAGATCTACAATTTTCATTTAGGAAGTTTTTTCATCCGAGGTCGTTTGAAAAATTCAAATTTTAAAATTTTCAAATTCAAACGTACATGGCAAGATGATTTCAAATCAAAATGTTGCCAACTACAAAATTTCATAACTTATCAAGATTACAAAGTTTATTTTGGTCATTTGTTCATCCGACATAGTGGTAGTAACATTGTTCACAAATCTTATATATGTATCTTCTACTTTCATGAAATTAATATGAGAGATATGAGATATGTAGATTTTATGAACAACGTTATTGTCGCTTTGTCAAATGAAGAAATGACCAAAATAAACTTTGTAGATCTTGAGAAGTTATACAACTTTGTAGTTGAAAAGTTTTTCATTTGAATTCATTTAGGGCCTCAAAAATTGCTTCGAAAAAATGATTTGCCGAGGGCAAAAAAAATACACACGGCAAAAAGCTTCTTTGCCGAGTGCCAAAACAAAGGCACTCGGCAAAATACATCTTTTTGAAAGTGCGAGAAAAAAACACTCGGCAAAGACGATTTTTGCAGGTGTGTTTTTGTTTGCCGAGTGTATTTTATTTGGCACTCGGCAAACAGGGTCTTTGCCGAGTGCCCGATAAAATACACTCGGCAAAGCCTCGGCACTCGGCAAATCGCCGGTTTCCGGTAGTGATGGTAACGCAAGCTGAACATACATGATTCGATCAGAGCTCAGCGAGTTGTTTGGTGTGGGATACGGAGATGTTAGCTCTTAACTTTACAAATGTTTATGTACTTCATACCACTTGAGTTTTTAATGTCATGTAGCCTATTGTATAGCAGCTTTAGAGCTTTGGAGTATGAGTCAAAATGAGGAGGAATGAAATTATGTTCGTTACAATAGAATACGATGATATTGTAATCTTATTATAGACACACATTCTCTTTTTTTATATACTTTTGAAAAATGTGATTTTATAAATAATAAAAAAATTATTTGATTTAAAATTATGTGTAATGTGTTACCGTGTAAAACCAAAAAGGCGTGAGTGCCAAAGGTCAACATGTTCTATTTAAAGCTCGAAGGAATGAAAAGAAAAATACAGATTGTTTTTTTTTTGTGTGTCAAAAATCACTTATTTTCAATTACTACTCCCAAGCAAGAAGCATCTCTATTGTCTTTGTTTGCATATATACTCCGACGATCTGTAGAATTTAGTGTGGTCACCGGTGGTTGTGTGTGGTATGATGCCCCATCAGATCCTGTGAAGCTTCTGATGAAGGACACAAGAGCACTCATGAATTTTCTTTTTTCCCCCTTGGAGACTTGGTTTATAGACTAAATCACTGAATTGGAGATTGCAGCATAACTACTGCAATTATATTGAACTATGGAAAAAACATTTGTTGTTTTCATGTACGTCATCAAGATAAATCCGTTGCGTTAGCACGGACGTTATACTAGTATCATATAATGGTCCTGTTCACTTGTCTTATAATCCGTACTTTTCAGCTTTTTTTTTCAGCCGGGGCAGTGTTTTTCTCTCACGACAAATCAACCGGAATAGTGTTTCGGCTTGTTTTTTCAGCGAAGCGAAACGGGCCAAAGTGGTATGAAAATCACAAAAGGACACCACTCAGGTATTAATAGTGCACATATTTAAATTTCATTTCTAAGAAAGTACCTATGTAACTTCACTGATGTGTTGGGCTGAACTTGCGAAAACTATTGTATGATACTCCACTGCATTCATACAGTTTTCTTCTCTTATTTAGTAAACCTAGGAATACATCAGACACACTCATACTCGCAGGCACACTACTTCATAATATTATATTAAATGAAACAACAGATGAAATCTTTGTTAATTATATCTATTTAACTGATTAGATATAAATGGATCTGCTGCATGGTGATCAAAATCGAAGCCAAATCATATGGATTAGGGAGGGAGGAAGAGAGGGGAATCGACCAGCATAGAGATGGGGTTCGCGCTGCCCGAAACGACGTGGAGATGACGCAAGGCAGCCGGATCCATCGCTGTCGCCTACCTAACCTCACGTTGGTGCCGGAGGAGATGGGGGTGTTGCCACTTCGGGAATGTGCCGTCGAGGGGCAAGGGAGACGGATCTGCTCGTCGTTGCCGACCTCGCCTCAATGCGCCACTGCTTGTGGCCAGGTGGGAGGGCGTTGCTTGGTGACCGGGGGCGTCGTCGTGGGCCGAGGAAGACAGATCCGCTGCCGCTGTCGTAGGCCGAGGAAGTCTAATCCACCGCCACCGTTGCCGTCGCGGGCCGAGGAAGGCTGATGCGCCGCCGCCGTCGACCTAGCCTCGTGTGCCATCGCTTGGGGGCTGGGGAGGGAACGCCGCCGCTTGGGGGCCAAGGTGCGCTGCCACTTTTGTGAGAGAGAGATGCCCGGGGAGGTTGTGGCGGCTGAGAGAAGGGCTAGGGTTAGGGCGGGCGCTTTTATGCCCCCGCTTTTGGGCCAGCCGAAAGGCCAGCGCAGCCCAGGCCCAAGTTTTTCAAACTGTTTTTCACGTAGTGCCGGCTGCACACCTCGGCCTCCATACCCACACCAACACCAATAAAGGCGTCAGCCAGGACCCTGACCCTCTCGGCGGCACCCACCTTGTACGCCCAGCTCTTGTCCCTGGCCTCCCGTGTGGCCATCCTCGGCCAGGGCAGCAGCACGGCCAGCAGTGCCGCCGCCACCCCGAGCGCCGTGCACGCCACCACGTTGGCCGGGTGCAGCAGCGCCAGGCCGCGGCTGGGGCGCTCCCCCTGCTGGAACCTGGCCACGTAGATTATGATGGCCTGCCCCAGCGCGATCCGCTTCGCCACCGGGCCCACCGACTCCGGCAGCGCCACTGCGAAAGCCGTCAGCGCCACCACGGCCGACGTGCCCAGCACCGACTCCGCGGCGCCCGTGCGGTGCGCGAGCCACAGCGCCACCACGGAGGGCGCGGCGCCCATGAGGGTGCCGTGGAGCGCGCGCGCTCACGGCGCCGCGCAGGGCCGTGCCGAGGGTGGCGTCCGTGACGAGGATGACCGTGACGACGTAGGAGAAGGCCGGGAAGGTGATGTGGCGGCGGAGGGCGGGCGGTGCGTAGGGGGAGACGAGGCCCACGACGATGGTGCAGGCCAGGGCGGCTCGGAGGCCCGACGACAGGGACGAACGCCAACACCCCATCACCAGTTGCCGCACCACGTCGTCGTCATCATCGTCTTGTGATGAGAAGGAGCCGCTGCAGGGTGGTGGCGGCGGCGGTAACGACTTGTTGGCCGCTAACGATTGTACTAGCTGCTGCTGCTTCGTCGCCGTTGTTGGTGCCATTATTCCTTTCAGTTGCATTGGCACGTACTACGTGTTCACGTACGCGTTAGATATGAATAACTACAGATACATAGATTCCCTTGATATATATATGGAGGATACCTGCTGTGTCTGTGTTCTCCAAGCGGCCAATGGCAAGCTAAAGTCGTAGCTAGCAGCTCAAGAAAGCATGCATGCATGTGTAAGCCGGCAAGGCATGCAAATGCAAGTGAATGCAGCCACACGTACAGCTTGCCTATATATATAGAAGTGAGCGAGCGAGTGAGACGACCTAGCTAGTGCGGCAACGTCATGGACACTGACTGTACCTGAGGTATATAGATCATCGATATATAGGGTACGTAAACCAAGTACACATAGAGTATGTTAAAGTTGTGCGTCAGCGTGCAAGTGCTTTCTTTGGTAGATTCTTACTTTGTGGTTTAATTTGTGCTATGCTAGATCGATCATCGGTGGATCTTAACTTTTTGGTTAGTTATATATATACATATTGGGTGGCGTGGCGCACAAAAAGTAGGATGTTGTTGCTACCTTAGTGGCCATTCTTGCTACTCCACTGCTTTCGGATCAATGGACGTCATCCATATATTGACTGACCCCTCCTCATTCATCCACATATTTATTCGATTCGATACACGTACTGTATTATATTACCTACCAAAGCTGCATGCATTATTATTTGTTTTACCCTCTTTTATATATATGACAGTAGTGTGTCCATATGTCCCACCAATAACTCTCTAACCTCACAGAAATTATGCACACATATATTTGAGTATATGTATGTATATACATACATATATATTTATTATTGTAGATGAAGAAACATATATGTATTTTTTGGAGCACTGGAAAGAAATAATGCACACATATATTTGAGTATGTATGTATATACATATATATATTTATTATTGTAGACTAGTATAATGCCCGTGCTAACGCAACGGATTTATCTTGATGACGTACATGAAAACAACAAATGTTTTTTTTTTCCATAGTTCAATATAATTGCAGTAGTCATGCTGCAATCTCCAATTCAGTGATTTAGTCTGTAAACCAAGTCTCCAAGGGGCAAAAAAGAAAATTTATGAGTGCTCTTGTGTCCTGCATCAGAAGCTTCACAGGATCTGATGGGGCATCATACCACACACAACCACCAGTGACCACACCAAATTCTACTGATCGTCGGAGTATATCCGCAAACAAAGACAATAGAGATGCTTCTTGCTTGGGAGTAGTAATTGAAAATAAGTGATTTTTGACACACACAAAAAAAAACAATCTGTATTTTTCTTTTCATTCCTTCGAGCTTTAAATAGAACATGTTGACCTTTGGCACTCACGCCTTTTTGGTTTTACACGGTAACACATTACACATAATTTTAAATCAAATAATTTTTTTATTATTTATAAAATCACATTTTTCAAAAGTATATAAAAAAGAGAATGTGTATCTATAATAAGATTACAATATCATCGTATTCTATTGTAACGAACATAATTTCATTCCTCCTCATTTTGACTCATACTCCAAAGCTCTAAAGCTGCTATACAATAGGCTACATGACATTAAAAACTCAAGTGGTATGAAGTACATAAACATTTGTAAAGTTAAGAGCTAACATCTCCATATCCCACACCAAACAACTCGCTGAGCTCTGATCGAATCATGTATGTTCAGCTTGCGTTACCATCATGAGAGTCCGTCTCCTTACAACATCTCCCTATTTCTCTCCTACTTCTCACATCCCCATACCAGACTTCAAATCTGTTTTTTAAAGACTTCGTACAGTTTTTCCAATCATGGACTTCCATAGGAATAAGCTCAAAAATATGGTGTAAAACATCATTATAATAGCATAGCGCCCACATTAAATTGCAGTGGTTACCTACTAAATTTCCGTATAGTACTAAAATGTTGTATAAAGCAAAGTACACTAAAAGAAAGTTTGTGTTTATCCTTACCAAGTGTCTATTTTGGATTTGAAGAATATATATTTTGGATTCATTGTTAGCTAGAACACTACAATTCCCATGACATGATAGCAGTTTTATAGGAAGTATGAAGATAATGAGAACAGCATACTTGAGGGGCGAGGGTGTTTATGCTTGATTTGGCAATCATTTACAAGATCTCTTTATACACACCAAAAAATTAACTAAACAAATACGAACAGTTACCTTTGTAGGTGCAACAACAGTAGGGAGACTTGAATGTGAAACATGAGTAAGCAACTAAGCATTGTTTCTCGAACTGAGATTTGTCCTTGTTCAGTTATTGTTGACAAAGAAGGTGGTAGTTGTATCTGTGGGGCTGAGCTGTTAGAAAGAAAATATTAGTTTTGCTCTCAGACACTAGAACACCGGTTCTTATGAACTTAAGTCTGTTCCTTTGCCGGCTGAGGCTTGGGATCAGTGGCAAAAATAGAGATGTTAATTGCATGTTGACGAAATGTGTAAATAAAAGATGTAAGTAAATGATACCTTTTTTTGGCTGACAGTGGCTTCGGATCAGCGCAAAAAAAAAACGGTGCCTGCAGATTGCACTATATTATTAATAAGAAAGAATTAGATAACACTTTACATATGTATAAAATGGCTTCGCAAAATCTAACTATTCTATTTTTCTGAATCAAGTCTAGATTTTTAGAATATGACATAGCAAGTCCAAAGCCAGCTCTTTTGGAAATGATTAGCTCTTATTCATTTGATTGTTCTTAAGGTTCATGAACCAATAATAAATAAAATGTGCATCCAGATCATTACTTTGACATCAGGTATTAGATCATGTTTTCTTTTAAGAAACTGTAAGCTTCCTGATTATTAAGAGTAAGTTTACACTTGTGAGGAAGGGTATTGTAAATTTTGGGAATAACTATAGCGCCATAGCAGTGGAAATACAGTTCATGAAGAGAAAAGCTTAAGGACACCTACTTAACAATGTCATTTTTTGTGATCCAACCAGAAAGGGCAGACCAGACAGGTAGAATAGGACCAATTAATCATGAACCCAACGAATCAATCAAACAAGCTAAAAGAAATAGAATATCTACTGAAGCAAGCATCTGCACAGTGTTGTGCTCACCAGGAACCAGGTCCTCCCTCTAAGATCAACGCTCCGATCTGAGTAGTGAGAAAGGTCACCGTCGCCTGATCTGGTACAACCGTAAATCAAAAGATTATTACTTGCAAAATCAAGATAATACCATGAAAACTTATGGTCTTGGATGCCAAAGCTTCCACTAATATCGCAGGAAGCCATGAAGTTCCCCATCAATCTGTGAACGATTGGAAATCAGAGGAGCGGCGTTGGTGGACTAACCTGCAGACCTCAGGGGAGGACACATAGTGAGAGAGGAAGAAGCCCTGGGCAAGGCTGGTTGCCGCTCAACGCGCCGCCACCCAGTTGGCCGGCCACCGCGTCCGCTCCACAACATCCACCCCCAGGCAGGCCGCCCGTTTACTGCTTCGCGAGATCCGCCCACCGGCGAGGGGGCCTGTCGCTCATCTCTGTGAGATCCACCCCCCGGCGACCGAATGCACTACATAAGTGTCAGAGGGATCGAGACGCCGGTGTTGGAGAGGAAATGGCGGCTGCCGGTGCCTCCGGACAGCACGCAGAGGAGGCCACTGAGCGATGCACACCGTGGGTCGCCGCCGCGGCGCAGGATCCCATGAACGCAAGCTGTGTCCCCTATGGGACCTCCACCGGCATGTCGACGGCGGCACATCGGGCTTGCGCGGTGGGGAAGACGGTGGCGCATTGGGGGTGGGGGTGGTTGCGGATCAGATTGTAGATTTGGATTGGGGAGGCGAGGGGGACCGAGCCGACGGGGAGGGGTCGACATGCGGGGAGGGAGTCGCGGGTGGGCGCTGGGCAAGGCACATCCAAACCGTTGGATGTGGTTGAGTAAGGAGAGAGAATGGTTAAGAGTTAATCCGGTGCGTATATTTTTAATGTGATCTTTATCTGTGTACGTTTTGTGGGGTGGACGTAGTTTAGGTTGTGACTGTAAATGTAGGATTTGTTTGGTGGCTGTAGGATAATTTGAAGTGGTGTATTATAGGGGTAGAGATACAGTGCCACAAGGATGTCATTGTATCCAATGAAATCTGTTTTAATCTTACGGATTTCTAATTTATTTTTGGTGTAAATTAGTCCATATAGGATTTACTGTAATTAAGTACATATAATGAATTTGTCTAACGAATGGAAATATCTTACTGTAAATTTGTTACTGAATCTGTCAACTGATGAATAATTTGTCAGGTTCCACTTCCACATGTTCTTACTATAAAAGGCAAACTTATTTTTGGCAACAAATTTTATTTTTTATTATAAAAACCTTGTCATCCAGTGAATGGTTAGTTAAATTTCTCACTACACAAGATTTATGCCTAGCTGAGTGTCAGTGCATTTTGTTTGTGCTAAAACCAGTATAAATTGCAAGGCTGCAATAAAAAAGAAGTATAGGATATAATCTGTTTCTTATGAGCTTCTCTGAAGACTATGAATATGGTGTAGTATGCAAGATTTCTGCATACATGCAATTTTCAGGGAGCCTCATGAATCATGTTCTTTGTATGCTTTTCTGTGATTGTTTTCATATTTGGATTCTTTCAATTTGCAATGGCAACC